GAGAAGAAAAAAAATCTACAAACTTATCATTCTAATGCTTTGTGCTTTCTATTTTGTTTCTTCATAAATCATTTAACTAGTCTTGCTGCTCAATTGTGTAGTTTTAGAGCAATAAATCATGAGAGAAATGGTAGTTGGGAGGCGACGGTGTACTGTCTACTTTCTTGCTACCTTTCTAGCTCTGTTAAAAACATCATTGCTTCTAGCAAATGGTCAAGCTTTTGATTATCCATCAATTGCGACGCCTCCAGGCACTTGGATTAACAACAACTCAGACTCTAGTTGGGACTTATATGGGTTGACACTGAAACCTATCTTGGTCAATGGGGATTTTGTTTGTGGTTTCCACTGCAAAGTTGAAGAAAACAACAGCTGCCTCTTTGCTATCTCCATCTTCAATTTCACTTCCATCTCTTACATGAATTCACAAATCGTATGGTCGGCTAATCGAAACAATCCAGTTGGACGTGGGGCACAATTGCAACTTTCCCAACAAGGGGATTTAACGCTGCAAAATGTTGATAGCACTCTGATTTGGTCTACAAACACAACAGGTAAATCTGTTTCGGGTTTGAATTTAACTGATCAGGGTAACCTTATGCTGTTTGATGGAAACAATGAGATGGTTTGGCAATCTTTTGATCATCCAACAGACTCTTTAGTTCTCGGACAGAGACTAGTTTCTGGGCAGAAATTGGTGGCAAGTATGTCTGACACAAATTGGAGTGAGGGTTTATATTCATTTTCAATTGATAATAATGGTTATTTTGTTGCTTCTGTGGTGTTAGATGCTACCATAGTGTATTACAAATCCAACAAGTCTCAATTAAGTAGCCAAACGGGGCAGTTTTATGCTGAGCTCACTAACACAAGTTTCGGTATTGGTCTTTCTCCAAGATCTGGAGTTCGTTTTATACAATTGGGCTCTAATGGCCACTTATGGTCTCGGACTGGAGTAGTGGAATGGCCAACGCATGATTTGTTTAAGAACCAAGTCCATGAATGTGATTATCCATTGGCATGCGGAAATTATGGAATTTGTTCGGCACAAGGATGCAGTTGCCCAACTTACTTCAAGCAGATAGAGTCTTTTCAGTCCCAATCTTATACATGTTCTCCATATTTTCCAATATCATGTGAGTTTCCTTACCAACACAGTCTTATTGAGCTTAAGAATGTTGATTATGTTCTTGGAGTTAATTATCACATAACAGACACCGAGAGCTGCAAGCAAGCCTGTTTAAAGAACTGTTCTTGCAACTATGTTGTTTTCCAACCTAATAGTAATTCCTCATCATCTGGAAGGTGCTTTTTAAGATCTAAAGCTTTTTCATTCAAGAAAGTGAATCCAGATAACTATCAATCTGTGTTTATAAAGGTGCAAAGTTCAATTGTGAAGCCTCCTGTCTCTTATTCTAACATCATCTCAAACTCTAGTTGGATATCAGAAGAGCTGATACTGGAACCCATCTTTGTCAATGGGAATTTTGTTTGTGGCTTCCACTGCAAATTAAAAGAAGACAACAGCTGCCTCTTTGCTATCTCCATCTTCCATTCCAATCCCTCTAACCTCAATTTCAACTATTCTGTGGATTTAAAAGTGGTATGGTCTGCTAATCGAAACAATCTTGTTGGACGTGGGGCAAAATTGCAACTTTTCCAGCAAGGGGATTTAACACTGCAGGATGTTAATGGCACTCTGGTTTGGTCTACCAAAACAGCAGGTAAATCTGTTTCCGGATTGAAGTTAACTGATCAAGGTAACCTTATTCTGTTTGATGGAAACAATAACACGGTTTGGCAGTCTTTTGAACATCCAACAGACTCTTTAGTTTTCGGACAGAGTCTAGTTTCTGGGCAAAAATTGAAGGCAAATTTCTCAGCCATAGAATGGAGGGAGGGTTTATATTCATTCTTAATTAATAATGTTGGTTATTTTGTTGCTTCTGCGGGGTCAGATCCTAACCTAGTCTACTACCTTTCCGATGGGTCTCGATTAAGAAGCAAAACTGGGCAATTTTATGCTGAATTCAGTAACACAAGTTTTGGTGCTGGCCTTTCTCTAGGATCGAGAGTTAGTTTTATACAATTAGGCTCTGATGGGCACCTAAGGTCCTTTAGGTGGGTAGAATCAGGATGGGAGGAAGACGATTTATTTGAAAAACAAGTCAACAGATCTGATTACCCACTAGCGTGCGGAAAATATGGAATTTGTTCAGCGACAGGATGCAGTTGCCCAGAACTAGATGAAAACAGAACATACTTCAAGCAGATGAATTTGGATCAACCAGATCTTGGGTGTCTTCCATATGGACCAATTTCTTGTAGCTCTCGTCTTTTTGAGATCAAGAATGTTTCTTACTCTGCTCTCTTTCTGCCAGATAATTCTTATTTAACAGATATAAAGAGCTGCAACCAAGCCTATTTAAACAACTGTTCTTGCAAGTTTGCTGCTTTTCAAAATACTGATCCTAAACCAGCAACTGGCTGGTGCTCGTTTGGATCGGAAGCTTTGTCATTTAAAAGAGAAGTGGACACAAAGTACAATCTATCTGTGTTTTTAAAGGTGCAGAGTTCTTCAATTGAACAGATTCCACAAAAGGATCTTCCATCACCTAGAAAGAGAAGACAAAATGTAGCAGTTATACTTGGAGCCACTCTTGCATCCACTTGTAGTGTGCTTCTTATCTACACTCTCCTTTTAATACAAACTAAAAAAGATCCAAAGAATGTTGAACAGGATTATCTTGGCCACATATCAGGGTTACCCACAAGATTCTCTTATGAAGAGTTAAAGGTTGCAACCAACAACTTTAGCAACAAGCTCGGTGAGGGAGGATTCGGTAGTGTTTTTCAAGGAACATTACCTGGTGCTGCTCAAATTGCAGTGAAATGCCTTGATGGTTTTGGCTCTGTAAAGAAGTCATTTATAACTAAAGTTGAGACCATAGGAAGCATTCACCATTTCAACTTGGTACGGCTGGTTGGGTTTTGTGCTGAGAAATCACGTATGCTTTTGGTTTATGAGTACATGTGTAACGGATCGTTGGATCAATGGATCTTTTGCAGAGACAAAGCACTTGCTCTTGATTGGCAATGCAGAAGGAAGATCATTCTAGACATAGCCAATGGTCTAGCATATCTCCATGGGGAATGCAGGCAGAAAATAATTCACTTGGATATCAAACCCCAAAACATCCTTTTGGATGAGAATTTGAATGCCAAGGTTTCTGATTTCGGGTTGTCTAAGCTAGTAGGGAGAGAGCAAAGCCAAATTGTGACAACAATGAGGGGAACACCGGGTTATATGGCCCCAGAATGGTTGAACTCAATAATCACAGAAAAAGTAGATGTATATAGCTTTGGCATTGTTGTTCTGGAAATTTTATGTGGTAGAAAAAATGTTGACCGATCTCTGCCGGAAGAGGATGCCCATTTGGTAAGCCTTTTTAAGAGAAAGGTCGAGGATGGTGAACTTTTGGATCTAGTGAATAAGTATAATGTGGAGATGCAATCAAATGCCGTGGAGGTAGTGGAGATGATGAAAGTTGCGGCATGGTGTTTGCAAGGTGAATATGCTAAGAGGCCTTCAATGTCCATGGTGGTGAAGTTCCTAGAGGGCAAAATGGATGATGTAAACGAATGTGATTTCTCAAATCCACCAGCACCTGCTGAAGTGGAAACTCTCGGACACCAAATGGATGCAGCTGTAGTTACTGCTTCTCCACTAATTCCATCTATCTTATCCGGTCCAAGGTGATGATACGGGGGAAGAGAAGACATAAAACACGTGCTGCAATGGTAATACTTCATTTCCTTTTACTTTCTAGCTTCTGTTTTCTGTTCCACAGCAGACAGTAGAATGTAAATTACAACTAGAATTCTTAGCTTGTGTTATAATATCTTTAAATTCATTGACTTATTTCTTATATCTAACTATCCAATTAACCTATCTTCCTTTGTACATAACGTTTTTTGATGATAATATTTTATTTTTCAGAGTTTCTTGTAATGCTAAAATGAATTAGTTTTAACTGAAATTTTGTCTTTCACTTAATTAATAAAAGCATTCTCATCACCGTTTTTTTGTTTTTATTTTACTCTTTTTCAGTGTTTACTCGATCAACCTCATTTCTTCCTTCCAAATGCTAAGCAATTGAGAAAGACTAGACCATCCAATTAGCAAATCCAGGAGTAGAGACTGATGCTGAAAGAGAAACCGATGGATAAGCTAATTTCTTTCCTTGTGCGTGTGGTTTTTTGTTTCTTTTTTTTTTTTTTTTGGTCCATTACAAATTTGTCATTTTACATTGAACGGAAAACAGTTGCAGTACTTTTGTTTAATTGTTTTAATTTCTGTATGAAAAATGTAATACTATTAGCTACTTCAACTTCAAACTGGCGTTGCAACTCTATTAATATCTAATCCTACCAATTAATAATGTTTATTGTCTGATTGGTTTTTGGAAAGAATTTAGTTTTTAGTTGGGATTGGATTATATTATGCAAGGCCATTATGGAACTTAGAAAATGGAAATTACTAGAATTCTTAGCTCTGTGTGGATTGATGATTTTGAATTTATTTTCTGATTTATTAGCTCTGTTTAAATAATATATTTTTTGTACCAAAAAGAAAAAGGAAAAATCCTATCTACGTTTCCTTAATAGGAATCAATACAGATATTTATAGTTAAGGTGTTTTGATCTAAATTTTACATTTTAAAATTAATTTTTACCCAATAATCTTAAAAACATGTCTTTACATCGATTTGATATATTTAAAAAAATTAATTTTTTTTTAGTGTTAGTCTCAAAATTTGAATTATAAACCTAATCTATAAAACGACATTTACTTATGATTAAATTTAACCCTTGGGGTTAGACTAATAATTCTCTTCCTATTTCAGTTTTTTAACTCTCCATGCCTGTGCCAATTGCTTCAAGTAATTGTTTTCCCTTTTTTTCTTATTTTATTCAAATTTAATGACTCCATAAAATATAAGAAGTGTTGATCAGTTACATAGGCAAAAAAATTAAGCTCGAAAATACTCAAAATTATCATTTTAATAAACTATTACAAGAAAATACTAATAAAACAATCTTATTTATACTTTAAAAAGTAGTATGTTTAAGTTTTTTCAATGAAATTTTATTAAAATAATATAATTTTAGAGTTCTTTTATTAATCTTTTACCAATACAACTAAGAAATATTTTTCCATAATATATATATACGCTTATTGTTTATTTTTAATAAATTTAATTTGATTCGTTGACTTTTTAAATATAAATTTTAAATAAAAATTTAA